GAGAGAGAAACATTGACGTGAAAGGGACACATTGATTGGCCACCACCTGCACAACCCAACCAGGCCCGGGGGACAAACTGCAACCGAGGTACGTGCCCTTAGCAGGAACTGAACCCAGGTCTCTCTGGACCACAGGCAGACGCTCTAACCGCTGAGCCAAACTGGCCAGGGCCAAACCCACTTTTAATGTTTGTTTCTCGTGACTTGAGACAAAGACATTCATGGCAGGAGATCTGGAAGAGTCCAAAAAGCAAATTATTTAAAAGTCTACAAATTAAAACCCTGGCTGGTTTTACTCAATGGTTAGAGCGTCAGCCTATAAACCGAAGGGTCTCAGGTTCGATTTCTGGACAGGGGTGCATACCTGGGTTCCAGGTTTGATCCCAAGCCCTGGTTGGAGTGGTGTGGGAGCCAGCCGGTCAATGTGTCTCTCTCACATTGATGTTTTGCTCTCTCTCCTTCCTTCCCTTCCACTCTATCTAGAAGATCAATGGAAAAATATCTTCAGCCCTGGCCGTTTTTGCTCAGTGGTTAGAGCGTCGGTCTGCAGTCCAGAGATACCCGGGTTCGGTTCCCACTAAGGGCACGTACCTCGGTTGCAGTTTGTCCCTGGCCCTGGTTGGTCGTGCAGGTGGCAGCCACTCGATGTGTCCCTTTCACCTTGATGTTTCTCTCTCTCTTGCTTCCTCTCGCTCCCTCCCACTCTATCTGAACAAAAAAATGGAAAAATGTCATCGGGTAAGGATAAAAAACAAAAAGAAAAAACAAACAACAAAAAAATATCTTCAGGTGAGGATTATAAATAAATAAATAAATAAATAAATAAATAAATAAATAAAATAAAATCTACAAGCCCTGGCCGGTTTGGCTTAGCGGTTGGAGTGTCGGCCTGCGGTCCAGAGAGACCCTGGTTCGGTTCCCGCTAAGGGCGCGTACTTCGGCTGCAGTTTGTCCCCGGCCCTGGTTGGTCATGTGGGTAGCAGCCACTCGATGTGTTCATTTCATGTCGATGTTTCTCTCTCTCTCTCTCCCTCCCACTCTATCAATACAAAAAATGGAAAAATGTCCTTGGGTGAGGATAAAAATAAGTAAATAACTAAATAAAATCTACAAATTTGAGGGACAAGGAGAACAGCTGTCCTATCGTCATTAAAAACAAAAATTTAGCCCTTACCAGGTAACTGAGTTGGTTCAAGCCTTGTCCTGGATACACCAAGGTTGTGGGTTGATCCCCAGTCAGGGCTCATACAAGAAACAACCAATGAATGCATAAATAAGTGAAACAATAAGTCTATGCCCCACCCCGTCCTTTCCCCTCTCTCTCTAAAAATCAATTTTAAAAAATTATTTTAATCCTTACCCGAGGATATATATGTATTTTTCTATTTATCTTCAGATAGAGTGGGAGAGAGGGAGAGAGAAACATCGAGGTGAGAGGGACACATCCACTGGCTGCCTCCCGCACGACCCTGCCTAGGGCTGGGGACAAACTGCAAAAAAGATACATGCCCTTGACCGGAATCGAACCCATGATTCATCAGTCCACCAGCTGACGCTCTACCACTGAACCAAACCAGCCAGGGCCAATTTAAAACATTTTTTAAATTTAACCAAGTAACCTAATTATCTAACTGGCTTTATTGAACGAGTCATGAATTAGGCAGCATCCCATCTAGTGAACAGAAAAGTGCTCTGAGGAGCTGTACAAAATAGAAAGCTTTTATAGGCAGAAGTAGAGAAGGACAAGAAAGTTAAAAGAGTGGAGGATTTTCAAGCAAGGTCACCTTCCCCTAGAGGCAGGCAGGAAGTCTTATCAGGCAGATGACCTCCCCAGCACTGACCAATAAATTCCAGACTGATTGATTTAAAATTCCACTCCTCCTCTGGCTGGTTTGGCTCAGCAGTTAGATCAACAGCCCATGGACCAAAGAGTCTCGGGTTCGATTCCAGTCAAGGGCACATCAGTTTCGGTTTGATCTACAGCCCAGGTTGGAGTCGTGCAGGAGGCAACCAATCAGTATGTCCCTCTCACATGGATGTTTCTCTCTTTCTCTCCCTCCCTCCCACTCTGTCTGACAGTCAATGGGGGAATATCCTCAGGTGAGGATTAAAAAAAAAAAAAATCCACTTCTGTGAAAGCCCGAAACTATAATTAGGTTAGGTATTAAATCTTGGTGAAAAAATAAAAATAAATCTTGGTGGGACTTAAAACCAATGACTCCATTTTGAGACTATTGTTTTTTTCTAACATTTCCAAACCTCAGTTTCTCAGTATTACCTCTTGTAGAGCAGCACTGAATAGGTGAGGCTTGATTAGAAATACAATCTCAATATTTTTTTTAATTCTTTTTCTTCTTTATTGATTTTAGAAAGAGAGGAAGAGAGAGGGAGAGAGAGATAGAAACATCAGTGAGAGAGAACATCAGTTGGCTGCCTCCTGCATGCCCCCCACCAGGGATTTGGCCCACAACCTGGGCATGTGCCCTGACCAGGAATCGAACAGGTGACCTTTTGGTGCATGGGTCGTTGCACTCAGCCACACTGGCCGGGCAATCTCAATATTTGAGAATAATCATTATTATTATTATAGGTGGTTGGGCAATGATGTCTCAGCTTCAGCCAGAGTTGGGTTCAGATATGCTTGGGCAAGTCTGGCAAACTGTTATTTATCTCTTCAACCCCGGCTTTGATATCCCATGTTCCAATAAGCCTACTCTGCTCTCTCCCTAAGTACCCTCAGCCTGAGGGGCCTCCCTGTGGTCCCATCCTAACCACACAGGGCTGGAGTGTCTGTGTCTGGCTCTGTGCTCTTTCAGACAACGCCTTCTCAAGGACCAAGCCCTAGTGTCACTACAGACATACCTCGAAGATATTGCAAGTTCAGTTCCAGACCACTGCAATAAAGCAAGTCACATAAATCTTTTCATTTCTCAGTGCTTATAACATTTATGTTTCTACTATATTGTAGTCTATTAAGAGTGTAATAGCATTATGTCTAAAAAGTGTACATATATTAATTTAAAATACTTTATTGCTAAAAAGTACTATCATTGTACTGTTTTTTGTTTGTTTGCTTTTTGCTGGAGGAGGGTCTTACCTTCATTCTGTAAAAAATGCAGTATCTGTGAAATGCAATAAAATGAGGTATACCTGTATTTTAGTTTCATTTGGCTGCTGTAACAAATTTCCAAAAATTGAATGGCTTTAAAAAATAACAGAAATTTGTCTGGCCAGTGTGGCTCAGTGGTTGAGCATGACCCATGCACCAAGAGATCATTGGTTCGATTCCCGGTCAGGACACATATCCAGGTTGTGGGCCAGATCCCCATGGGGGGCATGCAGGAGGTGGCAAATTGATGTTCTCTCTCATCAATGTTTCTCTCTCTCTCTCTCTCCCTCTCTTTTCTTCTCTCTCTAAAATCAATAAAGGAAAAAAAAATTACAGAAACTTCCCCTGGCTTGTTTGGCTCAGTAGTCAGAGCATCGGCCTGTGGACTGGAGGGTCAAGGGTTCAATTCCCAATCAAGGGCATGTATCTGGGTTGCAGGTTTGATCCCTAGCCCTGGATGGGGTTGTGTGGAAGGCAACTAATCGATGTGTCTCTCATCACATCGCTGTTTCTCTCTCTCTTTCTCTCCCTTCCTCCCTTCCACTCTATCTAAAAATCAATGGAAAAATATCTTCGGGTGAGGATTAACAACAAAAACAAACAAATAAAAAGAACAGAAATATATTCTCTCATAGTTCTGGAGGCCAGAAGTTTGAAATCAAGGGTCTGCAGAGCCATGCTCCCTCTGAAGACTCCAGAGGAGGATCTTTCCTGCCTTTACCAGCTCTGGTGGCTCCAGGCATTCTTGGCTTGTGGCTGCATCGTGCCAATCTCTACCTTTGTCTTCACATGGCTTTTCCTATTCTCTGTTTCTCTCTCCTCTTCTCTCTCTAAGGACACCTGTCATTAGATTTAGGGCCCACTGTAAATCCAGAATGATCTCATTCAAGATCTTTAACTTAATTCTATCTGCAAAGACTCTTTTCCAAAATAATGTTACATTCACATGGACTGAGGGATTAGGACATTAGATCCTTACAGGAAGGTGCAGTCCAGACAAAGGACATGAAACTCACAGAGACATCATTAGCAATGTATACTGGCGGTGGTGTTGGGGCATACCTACTCTTGCAGCCGAGTGTGGAGAAAAAATACATACTAGGGGGGAATTTTTAAGCTCCTACTATGTGTCAAGTTCTTAAGACGCAAGACTTATAAAACCCAATGAGATGAACACATTTATCTCCATTTTACAGATTCTGTTGCCATTAGCAGTCACTCCCCATTCCACCTACCCCAGCCCCTGGAAATCATTAATCTACTTTCTGTTTTTATGAATTTACCCATTCTGGACATTTCATCATGTAAATAAAATCATACAATATTTGTATTTTAGTTTGACTATTGTGAACAGTGCTGCTATAAACACGTGTATACAGATTTTTGTTTGAACATCTGTTCCAGCTCTCTTGGGTGTATATATTCCAAGGAGTGGAATTTCTGGGTCATGTAGTAATTTTATGTTTAACATGTTGAGAAACCACCAAACCTTCTCCTGTCAGTTTTATTTTTCATTATGAAACATTTCAGGCATACCAAAAAGGTATCAATAATAAAATAACAAATACCTACCTACCCAACACCCCTGAAAGAAACATTCCCAAGATAATTTTAAAAGAAACCAGCACTACGTCCCCAGCGCGCAGCTCCTTCCCGGCCGGAGACATCCGGTGCGCGAAGTGCGGTTCCGGTTCCGGGTCGGCGCGACTCCAAGCAACAGAACTGCTGCTCGGCCGGCGGGCGGCGGCGAGCAGCGGGGCATGAGGGCGAGCCCAGAAAGCGGCAGCTGAGCAGGCCAGAAGGAGCGGCAGTCCCTGAGGACTCCGAGAGTTCGGGGCTGGGTCCGGGAGGCGCAGGCGAGACGGGCCCTCCCCCAAGGAACGTGTCCCGGGGCCCACCCGGCTCGTAGTGTAGCAGCACCTTCAGGTAGGTGAGCCCGTGAAACAATATGAAGAGGAGAAAATAGCCTTTTAAGGAAATTGGCCCACAGAAAGGATGGCCTTCTTGGACAATCCAACTATCATTCTAGCTCATATTCGACAGTCACATGTGACCAGTGATGACACAGGAATGTGTGAGATGGTTCTTTTTTCTTTTTTTTTATTTTTTTATCCTCACCCGAGGACATTTTTCCATTTTTTGTTCAGGTAGAGTAGGAGGGAGAGAGAGGAAGAGAGAGAGAGAGAAACATTGATGTGAAGGGACACATCGAGTGGCTGCCACCCGCACGACCAACCAGGGCCGGGGACAAACTGCAACCGAGGTACATGCCCTTAGCGGGAACCAAACCCGGGTCTCTCAGGACCGCAGGTCAATGCTCTAACCGCTGAGCCAAACCGGCCAGGGCTGTGAGATGGTTCTTACTGATCATGATGTTGACCTAGAGAAGATTCATCCTCCTTCAATGCCTGGAGACAGTGGGTCAGAAATTCAGGGAAGCAATGGTGAGACTCAGGGCTATGTATATGCCCAGTCAGTCGATATTACCTCAAGTTGGGACTTTGGAATTGGAAGACGCTCAAATACAGCTCAGAGATTAGAACGACTTCGAAAAGAGAGACAAAACCAGATCAAATGCAAAAATATTCAGTGGAAAGAAAGAAATTATAAGCAATCAGCCCAGGAGTTAAAGTCACTGTTTGAAAAAGAGTCCCTCAAAGAAAAACCTCCAAGTTCTGAAAAGCAGTCACTATTATCTGTACGCCTGGAGAAGTGCCCTTTGCAGTTGAATAACTCCTTTAATGAATATTCCAAATTTGATGGCAAGGGTCATGTAGGCACAACAGCCACAAGAAGATCAATGTCTACCTCCCCCTACACTCGAGCCAGGACAGACTGCTGCCAATGACTGTGGTGACAATGGCCAGCGCCAGGGTGCAGGATCTGATCGGGCTCATCTGTTGGCAGTACACAAGTGAAGGACGGGAGCCGAAGCTCAAAGACAATGTCAGTGCCTACTGCCTTCATAGTGCTGAGGATGACGGGGAGGTTGACACAGATTTCCCTCCACTGGATTCCAGCGAGCCCATTCATAAGTTTGGCTTCAGTACTTTGGCCCTGGTTGAAAAGTATTCATCTCCTGGTTTGACATCCAGAGAGTCACTCTTTGTTCGGATGTGAGTATTGACCCTCTGTTACTTATCTCAGTATCTCGTCTCTGCCCCTGGTGTAATTTTGGATTTGATTTTGATTTTGTTCATCAAATAAATATTTGGTGTCTGGAAAAAATAATAATAAAAAATAAAAGAAACCAAACAGCTCAGGATCTTGGGAAGCTGTACACCCCCCCCCCCAGCTTGACGGTATAATAAAGTGCTCCTTTACCATTAAAAAAAGAAAAGAAAAGAAAGAAAGAAACCAAACAGAAATTCTGGATTTGAAAAGTACAATAATTGAAATAAAAAAAATTCACTAGAGGGGTTCAACAGATTTGATCAGGCAGAAGAAAACATCAGCAAACCTGAAGATAGGATAACTGAAATGATCAAGTCTGAAGACCAGAAAGAAAAACAAATGAATAAAAGTTAACTGAGTTCAAAGGCCCTATGGGGCACATCCAGAGGACCAACATACATATTATGGGAGTCCCAGAGGAGGAGAAGGAGGAGGAGGAGGAAGGGGGGGGGGTCGAAAGAATATTTGAAAAATAATGACCAAAAACTTTCCAAATTTGATGAAAGGTATAAATCTACACATCTAAGAAGCTCAGTGAACTCCATATACAATATACTCAGAGACCCAATAATGAGACACATTGTAATAAAACTGTTGAAAACCAAAGAGAAAAAGCGAAACTATTCATCATGTACAAGGGATCCTCAAATAAATTAACAGTCAATTTCTCACCAGAAACCCTAGAAGCCAGAAGGCAGAGGGATGACATATTTAAAGCACTGAAAGAAAAAACTGTTGACTAAGAATTCTATATCTGGTAATACTTTTTTTAAATGAGAAAGAAATGAAGACATCCTCAAATAAATAAAGCTGAGAGAGTTTGTTACCATTATATCTGCCCTGCAAGAAATTCTAAAGGACTCTAGCCAGTGTGCCTCAGTTGGTTGGAGCATTGTCCTATGTATCAAAAGGTCACAGATTCAATTCCCGGTCAGGGCACATACCCAGGTTTCGTGATTTAAGGCAATTGATTGATGTTTCTCTTACATTAATGTTATGACCTTTAGGGTCTTTGTAGATATAATTCTTTATTGGAGCAGGGTGGGCCATGTAAAGACAGAGGCAGTGATTGGAGTGATGCAGCCATAAACCAAGGATTGCTGAAAGCCACCAGAAGCCAGGAGAGAGGCCTGGAACTGATTCTCCCTCACAGTCTCCAGCCCTGCTGATACTTTGATTTGGGACTTCTGGCCTGGAGGGACTGGTTTTTTGTTTGTTTTTTAATTGGTTCTTTTTCCTTCCTTCTAGTGTGTCTGAAAGCCTTCATGTGTTCTGGAAGCTATTCCTTGGTCAGTTAAATGCATCATAGATATCAAAATTGTGACTGAGGTTAATTGTACCAAAAAAAAAAAAGTCCAATTGTTGTAGGCAGACAGGCAAAAGCAGAGCAAGGACGATGGACCAGGTAAAGAAGGTCACCAGGGTGGAAAGACCTAGGCACCTAGCAAGGGGCAAAGCCAGGAAATCAAAGACCCCGACCTCAGGGGAACCTTTCCTCCCCTAGCATATAGCTAGTCATTCGGTTTGGCCCCCCCGACCTTTCATATAGTTGGTCATGCGGTTTAGACCCCCTGACTTTTCCTCCCTGAAAATAACATCTAGCCCTCAGTTGTATTTCTGCTCCAGGCCTAGAAAAGCACCAAAACCAGACAAGTGACACCGAGGTTGCCTCAGGAGCAGCTGCCTTTACTAATGACCCCCTTCCCTGGTGACCACCAATCAGTGGAGACCATGACCCTGAAAGAACACACCTGCAAAGCTGATGAGTATTGAGACCCTCTCCTGAGACCTCCCCTAAGATTCTTGCCTGCAAGAGAGAGATACCCTCAACACAATGGACCCATCACGAGATCTCCAGGGGAACATTCCCTTCCCCCCTTCTTCCCTCTAAGGGACCCCACAAGACTTGCAACCAGGGGAGCAATGGGCTGCAGCAGCTCCTCCTGCACCAACCCCCTGAACCTGTCTCTAAGGCCCCTTTTCTATGACTTCTCAGTGAACCAAAGCAGCCCAGCCCAGGTTCTCCTGTTGCTTCTATGCTAAGCCCTTCCTTGTTTCATTGCCCTGAGTGTGCGTTTGCTGCTGCCAGTAAATTCTTGCTCTCTTTGCTGTACTTTGTCTCTTGACTGAAATATTTCCTTCAGGAAGACAAGAACCAAGGTCTTGTTGTCTCTCCGGTAGCACAATTATTCATTTTTTTCTTGTCAAGGGTGTGTTTTTATTTGCCTGGAAGTTAAAACTGGCATATGGCTCTCTTCCTTGATGCTCTTGACCAGCCATGACCTCCCCATGTTCTGGATTTGGGACTCTGCCAGCACCTCACCCCTTCCCGCCATCATAACTCTTTGGGGGAGGAGTGGGGACAGCTGAGTGTGAGTCAGCAAGGCCTGGACTGCTGGGGGTGGAAGTGGTCAGCTCAGCCCCTGGGCCATCTGTGTGGGTTCCTGGGGTGGGGGTGGGGGTGGGGCTGGGGCACCACATAGTTTGGGCCCTGGCAGGAAGTAAGTCAGTTGAGGAAGCAGGCTTTGGGACCCCACATGCTTGCTGCTTGGAATGTATCTGCTGGGGTATCCCCAGCCCCCACCCTCCCAGCTTCACACCCTGTTCCAGCACCTAGATTTTTAAAAAATATATTTATTTACTGATGTTTTGAGAAAGAGAAAGCCTGGCCGGTGTGGCTCAGTGGTTGAGCACTGACCCATGCACCAAGAGGTTTCCAGTTTGATTCCCAGTCAGGGCACATGCCCAGGTTGTGGGCCCGATCCTCAGTGGGGGGCATGCAGAGGCGGCCAATCGATGTTCTCTCTCATTGATGTTTCTATCTCTCTCTCCCTCTCCCTCTCTTTCTAAAAATCAATAAAGAAAAAAAAAAAAGAGGAAGAGAGAGAGAAACCATTGATTTGTTGTTCCACTTATTTATGCATTCACTGGTTTATTCTTGTATGTGCTCTGACCTGGATCTAACCTGCAACTTGGGTACATCTGGACTACGCTCCAACCAAGCTTCCTGGCCAAAGCACCAGCACCTGTTTTGCAAGTGTGCTCCCATAATGGTTCTGCTGACCACTTATGAAGTGCGTGCAGTGTGCCAGGCCCTTGCTGACTATTTATACACAGGCCTGCCAGCTGGGTGCAGTGGTCAGCTTCATGTCATAGAGGAAAACTAAGGCCGAGATTGGGGCAGCTGAGTCACATCATGGAATCTGAGTCACCCAAAGTCCCAAATCCAGTCCTCCTTGTTCAGCTGGAGTCCTCTCTGCCCCTTGGTGTCATCTCTGTCTCTCTCCCTTACTCTCTCTACATTTTTGCTTTTCAGCCTCTCATGTCTCTGTCTGTTTTCCCAGCCCCCACCCCCACCCCCCATCAGCACCACACCAGGAAGGAAGGCAGCCTGAGTCCATTCCACCCTTCCAGGGATCTGTCCGGGCAGGTCTGAGGCACTCGTGTAGAAACTGCTGAATGCATGGTGCCAACTCCCCACAACTGGCAGTGCTGAAAGAGGCCAGTAGGCAAGTTGAAGAAGGAGTGGGGGAAATACTCCTTTGGGATTTCTGGTGCAGTATTTTGCCCTCTCCCTTACTCCTTTGTAGGTCTGTCACACTCAAGGCTTTCCAAGATGACCACAGCATCTTCCCCCAAATTCTGTGTTTCAAGGGTTGCATAGGAGTTCTCCAGGTATAAATGGGGGAGGGGGCTTCCAGGCAGAGGAGACAGCCTGGGGTTAGCAGAGACATAGAAACAGGAGTTCAACTACCCAGAAGAGCCCAGCCAGTGTGACTCAGTGGTTGAGCATTGACCCATGCACCAAGAGGTCACTGGTTTGATTCCCAGTCAAGGCACATGCCCAGGTTGTGGGCTTGATCCCCAGGAGGGGGCGTGCAGGAGGCAGCCAAATGATGTTTCTCTCATCAATACTTCTATCTCTCTCTTTCCATCTCCCTTCCTCCCTAAAAATCAATAAAACATACTAAAAACAAAAAACAAATACCCATACCCAGCAGAAGCATATGGCTTTCTCCTGTGGGCCACAGGGGCTGTGAGAAGGGGTGGGGCTCAGGCAGGTTCCCAAAATGGGGTGGACTGGAAGGGTGAGACTGGTGTCCCAGACCTTCACCTTGGAGTAAGACTGAGAATGCCCAGGCTAGAGCTGAGGGAAACTGTTGAATGTGGCCAAGCACGGCTTCTCCAAGCCTTACCCTAAAATGAACTCTGTCTACATCCCCCATGACAGCTGGGATCTCTGCACTGCACTCTCAGCCTGGAACCCCAGTCACATGTGGATCCCTGGTCAGGGCACATACCTAAGTTTCGAGCTCGAACTCCGGTCAGGGCGCATATGGGAAGCAACCAGTGGATGTTCTTCCTTATATTGATTTTTTTTCTCTCTCTCTCTCTGGAAAAAAAGACATACAGAATATTACAGCCCCTCCCAACAGCCACAGGAGCAACTAGATTGCAGTTCTGGGACTGCAGCCCACACCGCAGGGCCAAGGAGAGTGGCCTTAGGGACTAAATCACTGGCCATGAACATTCCATCTTGGAGTGCAAAAGCTGTGGGTCCCCAGAACTTTGAGGAGGTGCCTCCTCCCCTGGGACCCACATTCCCTGAGACAAGACATTGTCCTTATTGCTGAAGCCTCTTTGGTTTCAAAGATTTACTCTTTGAAAGCTGCTGACTCTGTAGTATACTCATTTCTGCTGAGGACAGACACTGGGAAATGACAGTGCTCTTTCTAATCTTCAAGCTGCTCAGTTTCAGAGAAGCTAGCCTGAGTCCACATTCTAGTCCCTTTTCTCCCTGGCAATGACACATGGGACAAAGGGCTTCAAATAGCAGAGCTTCAGTTTCCCCATCTGTAAAAGGTGGTAATGGCGCCCCCTCCCAGGGTTGTGTGAGTGGAAATTCTGCATGTGCCAGGAGTTGACACAACCGTGATTCAAATCCCAGGGACCCCCCTTGCAGTGCAACCACGAGCGAGCTCCT